GCAGGAATACAAGCTTCTACTAGAAGTAATACATCGGTTTTTGGGGCAGGCATCAGAGCGTTAATATCTCCATCATTTATTGGAATTGTGTAAGCAATATCTAGCAGTTTCAGTGCAAATGAGTTAAGTGAGGGGGTTTTGGGTTTTGCCCCTTATGTTTGTGCAAGTACAAAAATACCAATCACATACAGAATTTAGGCTTTGCCGAGAGTGAGAGACAGATTCAAGTGTTGCTGAGAGATGGGTTAATTTGTATTTCCAGATTCAATTAGTTTGCTTTTGCTATTATTTTTATTTTCCCAGTCATTGCACATGCAAGATGGTTTAAAGTACATGTACTCGCGTACCTATTTCTACCTCATTTTAACAGTCTCTAGTTTTTAATTTTATTTTAATTTACGTTTCGTCCAAACTGTCAAAGTAAAGGATATCAGACATGCATATTCTCCTCTTTTGTGCTTCAGTACTACAAAACTGCAGAAGGGATATTCACTAAGGGAGAATGTTGCAGTGCTGGTGGTGTTGCTTGAACTAGACTGGAGGCAGGGCTGCCTTTTAAGCATGCCAGGACTGTTGCTTCCACTGAAGTAATTTATCTGTGTAAATTAAGGGATGGACATTTTGACTTAAAAGATGTAGTGTCTGGGCTAACTAGCTGTATTACAAAAATGATATTGTTGATTTATTCTTTCTAATCACTGTTGCAAGTAGGTTAGTGGGTTGTGATTGCTTTCCTTAAAATATACAAAGTTTGGAGTGTGAATTGTTACCTTGTGTAGCATCATACTAGTAGGTTATATCTAGGAATGTACCACTAAAAACCAGTGGAATAATAGTAACCTGAGCCTGATGGGTCTACAATGAAAGGTGATGATCAGTTGAAAATCCTATTCTTTTGTGTCTCAGAAGTTCTCAGGAATATTTCCATACATGTAATGCATCCCAATCTGTTTTAAAAACAAGAACTGTAAATGTACGTGTCCTGAAGAAAGCAGAGTGTAAGAAAACCTTGTAGTCCCGTTTCCCTTGATATTAAAGCATTTAGACTCTACATGTGTTCTGTAATCCCTACAAGCAAGGTAAAGACTCGACTGTTTTTTTCACTAGTTGATGTACCAAATGTGGGAAATACCCGTATTTTAAAGAAGGTTGTGTGGGATATGGAAAGATAAATATTTGCATAATTGTCAAACCAATCTATCAAGGAGCTAAGTTTCTGCTGCAACAGTTTGCTTGAATGGAATATTTGCTGTTAAACAATCATTTATTGTACACACATTTAGTTACATCAGAGAATTTTGTGCTAGAGTTAATAGTGTGATTTAAACATTCACTGTAGTCAAGATAATTTAAAAACACTTCTCATTCAGTGTATGTTGGCAACTCCTAGACCATGTCTGGGTAATTTAAGATTGGAAGATATTTATCTGTCAAACAACTGGGTAGCTGGAAGTATCCATCCATGAATCTTGTCAGACTCTTCTGTCTCGGGAACTGAGATTTCTAGACACTTTCTGCACATTTGCTGTCTCTTCTGGCAGACTTACATACTTTTCTACTTTTCTGGTTAGTTTGTCTGGCAGCTGAGTTCTTCCTCTTTAGGAATAAGCTGTGAAAACTTGGCTGTAGCATAGAGTTCTGTCAGGCTCTGAAAATGCCTGACAAAGGGAAGAAGCACCAAGTCAATGACAATGCTATGACAAGCAGAGATGCACATAAAACCAAATATTGCAGAGAATTTCTCTCTGCTTCCATTTACTCAAAATTGCAAAGGACCCCTGTGTGAGTGCTCTACAGAAGAAAATTCTGAACACCTGCTTCCAATACAGGATAGTATAGAGTCTCTCACCCTAAGGAATCTCTGGCTGTAGACATCATTCACATTGAACAGCACAAAAGATATTAGTGTTGGTATAGAGGGCACCTAGGCTTAAAAAGTGAACTAATCACCTGAGCAAAAGGAGACTCTCCATTAGCCATTAGCTGGTAGTGAGGCTTACTGCCTTGTTGTGGGTTACCCACTAGAGGGGGGTCAAATCACAGATGTTGAAGCAGATCTGAAGATGCTGGTAAGAGTTTTCCCTAACCTTTTCAAAGGGTAGACTGCACCTTTGCAGTGTGTTCTGGACTACCTCCCCTCCCACACAATCCTATAACATCTCTTTGGCAATACTGTAACTTACACATGTGGGGGAAAAAAAACACGGGTGGGTGGATGGGGTGTGTATGGAGGAAGTACTCATTCATTGCAGCTATACTTTCTATTAGTGATAGAAATGTAGCTGGGTTAGTCTGGTGTTTCATACTTTCTATTAATGCAGTTTAGCAGCTGGTGAATAAATAGGACCAGTGCCTTATCACCAAGTGAGTGACCTTGGTGTGCTGGTGTTTCAGGGACCACCTTTTAGGAACCTGTGCACTAGATACTTTGGAGTTTGTAAAAGTCTTCAGCAGTGGCCTAACTCTGTTCCTGTTAAGTCAACAGGGACACTGTGGATTTCAGTGGGAGCAGAATTAGACCGGTGCTCTGGGTACCTCTAATCCGCCCCCCCCCCCAAGTATTTGTAAGAATTGTTTGGAAGTCTTACACTCTGGCTCCTGCAGGTGAAGCTCCTTCTGCACTACACGTCATTTATGTCAAATACCTGTTAACAATGCAAAGGACTTTAAATGCTTACTAAAATCCCTCTTTTAGTTGCTCAAGTTTCACTGGAATCTGCCATACACAGTTTTTTAGGGTAGCCAAGACCAGTTTGTTGTATAAATAGAAAATAGTTTTTCTTGGAGGGGGGGGGGGGAAGGGGAGAGGATACTTTACGAGTTTCCTTGCACATCATAGAGAAGCACAAATAAAAGGGAATAAGTCTATATTTTTCCTCTTTTCAGATCACCTTTAAATTGGTTCTTGGTTGCATTGAACGTATTGCGTTCCTTTACATTTTTGCTTTGGTCTTCCTGCACTGTCGATGTATCAGCACATAGACTGCCACTCGAGAGAGCTCTACTTAAGTGAAGTGATTTTTGATAGAACTGACTCTAATAAATATCTCATTGGAGGCAAGAGACCTCATTCAAAAGAAGCAATTTGTTGTTTTGAACCTATCCTAAAGAAAAGACAAATTGTACTGGGCAAGATGGTGAAGGTATAGTGTGAAGAAATCCTAATACCTCAATTACCTTATTTTCCTCGAATCCTGACTTGATTTTTAGCGGCTATTGTCTTGAGAAATAGAGGTAGAAACTAAAGCTTTATCTCACTGGAAAGCATTTCGCTGGTGTCAAGTATTAATCTAATTAGCAGTTCATGATATAGAAAAGGATAGATCGTGCTTGAATTAAAGGGGAAGGTGACAAAGGAGCAGGTCTAGAATAGTAACTGTCTAATGATCCACTGTCTAGTGATCTTCCATGATTAGAAACCGTTTTCAAGCCTAGCACTGATTTATTTTTTCCCCAAGACCAACAAGAATTTTCCAGAACTGCCTAGCCCATTAAAATGTACTGACTTTGGTTCCATGTGAAAGTGGAATCAATAAATCAAAGATTCCCCTTTATTGCATATTGTTGGATGGATCCACTCAAATTCAGATCAATAGCCATCTGACAAGGTTGCTAGAAGGCGATTGTGGTAGGAGGCTTGGAAGACAGGTGGTTACTCTGAATAACAAGCAGCATTTTACAAAATTTTCTGAGGTGAAGGCAGTTTGGGAAAACCCTAGAACAAACCGTTCCAGAAGCAGTTTAAAAAAAAAAAGCTTGTTTTTTTCAAATAAAATGTACACAAATAAGAATGAGGAACGAATATGTACAAACGAGCAGAGTTTCAGAAAGTTTTAGAAGGAAAAGGGTGCCGTTGAGTAGGAAGACCTACACAGGAATCCAGGATACAGCTTCTTAATAAAATTAGTGTAGCTACCACCTGTGCACTGACCATTACATTTTTAATATGCATATATTTGACCTGATCGAGTGTGTGTATATGTACACTGATACTGTGTTCATTGTTTCAGTGGCGATAGATGTATGATTGCTGGTATTGCATAGAGCTGTGGAACCTAACTGAGGTGAGAGTACCAAAATCTGTACATAAGACGGATTCTGCTCAAGCAATTTGCATAATAGACAGAGAAGGCAGGAAGGAAGTGTTAATGCTTCTCCCTCCCTTTTAACAGAGCAGGAAATGAGGCACAAAGATTGAGGGACATATTGAGAGCCCCTTATTCCCACTGACGTCTGGGATTTAGTGCTCACTAGTGGAAGTAAATGTTCAAGACGGAAGGTATGGCAGTGGGATGGGAAATTCTTATTTGAACCATAAGACTATCTTTCCTCAGCATGTGTTCATGTGTTAGGTTGTCATCTCTGTTCTCAGAGTATGTTTCCAGACCTAAAGAAGAGCTTTGTGTAAACTCAAAAGTTGGTTTGTCACCACCATAAGTCGGTGCAGTAAAAAGTCTGTCTTTACCCACCTTGTATCCCTGTTCTATGCAGTTCTACCAGTCATGTATGACGAGATTCCAGGGTGGACAGGTAAGATGCTGATTAGGGATGTTAAATATCGGTTAATTTAATAGTTGAGTAACCGCATGAATTCTTATTGGTTCGTCGTCTATTCTGTAGTCCCTGTGGGTGGGGCTGACAGCCAGTGTGCTCTGGCCTCACTCCTGAGGAGCCCCCTGCCACACTGCACAGTTGCCTCGTGGACAGGCTGCCTGACAGAGGCGGCAGCGTGTGGTGGCAGCAGCCCTTCTTTGTGGGGTGGCCTGAGCTCCTGGACCCGACGTGAGCTAGGACTAAGCTGGGCTGCCTGCTCGCTTGGCTCCTAATAACACTTTCAATACAAAGCCGCAGCAGGGGTAGATCCCAAATCTGTCGCAAGGTAGGACTTTGCTGGGCTGCTAAAAAATTTACTGGAGGGGTGCATGTGTCTGAGGGTGGGATGCGTGTAGTCTATAGCATTAACCTATAAGCTTTTGCTTATTGGTGAATTGACGACACTATTACATACCTGATGCTGAACTGATTGACACTGATTTTCACATGTCCCATGCAAATTTGCCCCTTTGACTTGCATTTCCCATCAGTGTCTTCTCATGGTCTGTTTGAACATTAGCTTTTGTAGGGGTTGGATGGAGGTTGGTTTGGTTGTTCTCCTGGGACAGGGTTGACTGAATACCTAAGATTTTTCTACAGTTAGATGGAGCACATGTGCATTCTGTGATGGAGGGTGGCTTCTTTCTTGCTCCACTCTTTCTCTAGGTATTCGTATATCTCAGTGCAGTGGTATCTAAATGCTTCATGATCATTAATGGATTTTACACTCCTGCCCCTCGGACTAGGAAGGCATCTCCTGTTACAGTTGGGGAATTGAGACATTGGGTAGATTGGATCTGTTGCTCCAGTGTCACACAGGAAATACGTGGCTGTCAGGAGTTTAAAGCTGCATCTTCTGAATCCCAGTGTACTGCCTCAGCCACTAAAAACCTTCTTCCTTCCACTCTGTAAGTACCTCCCCTCAGACCATTTCTACACTGGTGAAATTTGCCATAAAAATTCATCAGAACCAGCAGCATGTACCCATGAGGAGCTGCAGGATAGACAAGAAGCATGGAAGAAAAGCAAGTCGAATCAAAATCCTGGTGAAAACAGTGCTGCCTGCCAGCATCTTGTCTAGGCTGCTACTTCTACCAGTTCAGCTGAACTGGCACAAGAACTAGTGGCAAATTTTCTCCTCTAGGGCAATAGTGGGGTCAACTTCAGAAAAGTCGGCCTATTTGCCTTCCCACCAGGATGATGAAAGCTGGAGTTTGCACTTGTCTAAAACCAAATAATTGAACAGTCTCTCTGGAGTTAAAGGAGGGAGAGTTCTTGGGCTAGCTAGCGGTGGGAAGCTGAAAGATGGAGAGATTGTGTACTTTTTAAAACAAAGTGCTCAGACTGTGGGCATGATTGATAAAATTGTAGGCATGTTCTTGAGGGCAGGGAACTTGAGAGCATGTGTGTATGCATGGCATTGTGGGTCTCTATTCCTAACTGATACACACAGGATTCACTAATGTCTATCTCTTCTGATAGAATTATGTTTTGTGGAAAGACTTGTACTGTGTAGCTCTCTCCACTTCTTCCATGCTGGTAGGAAATGGGGGAATGTTACCCTTTTTCAGCTGGGTTCCCCACTGCATCTATGAACAAATGTGTGGGATTTTGCCTGCCATTCCAGACTCATACGCAGCAGTAGTCAGACATCTCAGGAACGGCGCGAGGTTGGCATTGGAATTTATCCCAGTTATGTCAAAGCCAAGAAAAAGAGCAACAGAGGCTGATAGTGTTGAAGTAAAACGTGTTGTAAGCAGAAGGCATTTGAAAATATGAACAATCTGGCATAAAGTGAGTAGTGGGAGGTGTTCCAGAAAAGGAGAAAGTAGTTTAAAAATGTAACTTAAAAAAAAAACCCTGAATCTTGAATGCCAGAGAATATTTCAGTTAGTTTTGTCAATATTTACAATGGAATTGTGAACGTATTCTTGTGGACGAAGTCTCAGATGGAATCCAGAGACTAAAGTAATTGGCAGGATACCATAAATAAGTACTGTATCACATTTCCCTTTGTGCCAGGGAGGAATTTGGTTGTACTCCGAGAATAATTAAAAGAAGGGAGTGTAGCCTGTTAGAGCACAGGGCAGGGAGTAAGGCATTCTGTTCCGTCTGTCCCGGCTCTCACGTTGACTTGCTATGTGGTCTTGGGTAAACGAATCCTTTTCTGATCTATAATTTGAATAAAATGACAACTTTGTATGTTCCTTCGCAAGAGAATTTTATCTGGTGTTCAGGGAGCAGAAATTGGACCTACACCTCTTCCCTTTGTGTTGCTGACTAACCTAAATAAATTCCAGAGATCAAAGGTCAAGCTCTCAAATTTAGGGATATACCCTATTATTTGTATGCACCTACTCACACCCTGCCCCCCATACACCTGATTTTCATGCATAAGAAAAGTGCGTGGGGGGCAGGGTGTAAGTAGGTGCATACACCTGATTTTCATGCATAAGAAAAGTGCACATGTGTGTGGCTAAATTTGGTATCCATCCTCTGCATACCTCATTCCCGGAGGAGAGAAAATTAATAGTTTTATAATCAGTGCTATTTTAAAGAGCATTTGTGAAGTCAGCAGGGGATAGGAAGGAAGAGAGACCCTCACTTAAAACAAAATTAAATGAACCATCTGGATTTGTATTAAAGCATTAAGCCACACACAGCTTTGTATCATAGCTCTACAATATTTTGAGGCCCTTTATGGTTTGAATGGAGTGATAAAATGGAGCCTGCAATTACAGTAATTCTTTCTAATTGAATATTTTGATTTTACTTTCTCTTTTTAAAACACACCTGTGTAACTGCTAACGTTCATAAAGCTGCAGGAATATGTGTTTCCTCTTTTGGGTGATCCATATAAATATACTTCTCGTTGGATGGACATGCATTTCACTTCTTTATTTGCTGGAAGTGCTGCCCTAGGACAACTACTTTAGAAAGTGGTGGACAATAAGCTTTCTCTGCTCATTTCACTGTGCTGCCATTATCAGTAGGCAATATTAGTTTGCCATCTGGTGTGGAGGGGAGTGCTGGGCTGTGGATTAAATGCTTTGAGTCCTTGTGTGTGGGCATGAGGAGATTTGTCAGGTACCTTTTTAATTAATTGATTGTCCATGCAGGGCTAGTCCTTGACAGCTTCAGCCATTTATTTATCCACAGGCCATGTTCCATGCAGGCAGACAAGATCACTGCCACACAGACTTAGTCTGGGGATGCAGATATCCAAAGGACATTCTCGGTCTTGCTTGAACAAAGCTTTGGTAAAGGTGAAGAGTTAGAGTAGGAACTACAGCAGAGGTGGGGAACACTTTTTGGGTCAGGGACAGAAAAAAAATCAGTCTGGGACCGCACATGAGTGAGAAACAATCAAAACCTCTCTCTGATGTGGCCCTGGATTGAAAAAGAAAGACACTCCCCACGTTCCTCTCACACCAGAGCCTAGGGGGCCCAAGCTAGTAGATTTTGTGTGCTCCAGCCTTGCAGAGGGTGGGAGGGCTGGGGTGCTGCTGGTAGAGCCCAGATCCAAGCAAGCCAGGGACCGCATCTGGCCACCGGGCCCTAGGTTCCCCTGGGGAGAGCCCTGAGACCAGATCCAAGCTAGCCAGGGGCTGCATCTGGCCACCGGGCCCTAGGTTCCCCACCCCTGCACTATAGTCTCCCATGGTCTGTTTTAAATGTATTTAATTCACAAATTCAGTGAGAAGCTCTTAATTTATTCAGTATTGTGTTTTGCGTTAATTAGCAATCAGGCACCTGTGAAAAGTTAAAAGGCCGATCCTCCGCTGATGTAAATCGACATAGATCAGTTGCAGTCAACAGAAACGCACCCACTAAGGATTTGGCTCGAATGTGTCTGTAGATGTGGAATTTAATCTTAGAGTAGTGAAAGGAGAAGGGTAGGGAGTGGGAGGAGAGGGTTGCGATTAATAATTGTAGTATTGGATATTGATTATTGGGTTTTGGAAAACCATTTTTAATAACATAAATAAAAACTTGTAAATTCATACTTTCTGTTCAAGCATCAAATAGAAAAATTCAGGCTAATGGACATACTTGTATATTCTCTATACTGAATTATTTATTTAAAGAGAATTTTACTTATTTGTACTGATATTTATTTCATACACCAGTGATTGGATGCTGTCAGTTTTACACTTGTAGCTGTCTTGTAGTCCATTGGCTTTCAAACTGTGGTCCTCAGACCATTGCAGGTGTGTAGCCTATCTTTTCAGAAATCTAAAGAGATCTCTACAGCCATTTAAAAACTTTTAGGGGTCTACAAATGGTTGGACTTCTAATCCAGGAAACTGCTTCCTACAGTTGTCTTTCATCCGGTATTGCTGGTGGGTGGCTGCTATTTGAAAGCACAGCACTGTAATTCATTTATTAATAATGAGAAATAGAAATAATTTGGAGCCGCGCAAGAACTAACAACAAAAATGGATCCACCTTACTCCCGGATGAACCTGACTTGTAGTTGTCCTATTCTAAGGAAGGAAAAGTGTCAACGTGCTGCTCTTCTAACTTCAGTTACAAGGCAAGACATTGTTTCTTTTCCCGGTGTTTGCAGCATGATGGGGAACCATTCTTCCTCCCTTCATTGTTTAGAAAACAACCAAGAGTGAGCAGGTAGAGGGAAGCAGTAGTATACTTATTGCTCTGCAAGAGTATTTACTGATCACGTGTATGTACTGTATTGGATCAGTAGATGTTAGGATCAGGGTGTTTTGGGGTTTTTTCTTTCATTCTTTGTCACATCTACAAATGTCTTTTATTGAAAGGACATAATGGATTACATATACCATTATTTTCTGAGGAGGACATGGTTTTTTTTTTCTTGGTAAAGGTGAGGAGTCACAGAGTAGGGACATTCGGAGACAATAGCTATTTAATCAATCTTTATTTCAGTCTGTTCTTGACACTCAGGGTAATGGGCCTGTGTTTTTGATGCTAAGAAAAGGATTGTAGCCTCGGTCTGCTGCAGGCCAAGGCTTGCCACAGATAGAGGCTGCTCCAAGGGATGCAGAGCAGCCTCTGTCTGCAGGGAGCTCAGATCCCATCTGCAGACAAGGGGCCGCTGCCACCCTGTGGTGGGGGCGGCAGGCAGCCAGTTTGCACTGGGAGCTGGTTTTTAAACTGGCTCCCCTTGCGGACAGGTTCCTGCCTGCCACCCAACTCTGCTGCCTCTATCAGTGGCAGCAGCTCAGTGTGGCAGGGCCTCTGGCAGTGGGGCTGGGAGTGCACTGACTGCCGCCCCCTTCCCCAGGGACTATCGAATAGTTGTGTAACCACTAAGAATTCATGTGATTACATGACTAGTAGGTTACATGACCTCTAACATCCCTAGTATTCTTCTCACAAATGAAACTGCAATCTTTAATTCATAATCTAAGCTCATCAGACCCCTTCCATTCAAGATACTCCCTTGAACAATAAGAATTTCTTAATCCCTACCTATTAAAACACCCTACAGAAAACTCCTAGTGCCAGATACTCAACTGTTGTAACTTAACTTTATTTACAACAGCTGGTTTTGTACCTCAAGATAGCGGCAGAACATTTGGAAACTCTGGCGAGGAAATTATTTTTACTCCAGTTTTGGTTTAATCTTCTTTAGTTTTAAGGACAGGGTATGTGTTGTCTGTTGACATATGCTTTTTAATGTGGCTTATTGCAATCTGTTGTCATTGCTCAGCTTTGATAAAACAGATGGATAGTCTTGCATTCTACTCCGTAGTTGATCCTTTTTATAAGATCTTCGGATCCAAATTTATCTTACTGCTAGCGTGAGTGTCAAAATGACACCAGTATCAACCACTAGTGTCTTTGTTGGCTGAATTACATAAACTTTGTGTGTGAGTTTAAGTTCAGCATGTGATTGCAAGAAAAATTCGTCTTTAGATTTCTTCCCCTCAACCCTAATTCCCTCCCATCAGCTCAAATGTGCCTCAGCTTCTGCACGGTGCCTCTTTTCTCCTCATGCCGGTGGAAAATTGCTACTGTTCAGAAATGTAGCTGTCATAACACTAGATGTTTTCTTCCTTTATAAAGTACAACTGAGGAGGACTGAAGGAAGGGAAAGAATAACAGTGGAAAGAGGCTGGAACGCTGGCAGGGAGGGCTTGGTGAGGAGAGAAACTGACAAGGCTATTAGGAAATATACTTTTCACTACTACACTGTTTTGTCATAACATTCTAGATGGCAACACTACTAGATCTGTGAGGAAATTATTTTTTTAACCTCAGCTATTTATGAATTTTCTTTTAGTTGTGTTAGAGATGGACTTGAGACACAAAGTTGAGATCCGGATTTGAGCCTTCCTGATGTCCGGAAGGGAATTGAGGATGGCTTTTTTTCTGGACCAATCCTCATAATTAAGACTAGGGATGTAAAACCCTAGTTAATCAGCTAACCGGCTAAACATTCGTTTAAAGTGGGATCCAGATGAGAGCGGGTCCCTTGCGGGGCTGGAGCAGCCTCCTGGCCACAGCAGGCAGGGAGCTGTTCCAACCCCCACTGCTTACCGGTTAACCGGAACATCCCTAATTAAGACTTAGTTGAATTTTTGTTTCTAGCTATGTTATCAAGGTAAACGAGAATCCCCAAGCACATCCACCTCACTGAACACACTTAGGAAGTAGAACACTTGCTGGTGCTCTGATGCAGTGATGAGTGATTATACTGCATGTGATAAATCAACTGTGTTACGCTTGCAGCAGGGTGCCACAGTTGCCAAAAGATGATCCTGTTGATTTGTAGGTACTATGCAGTGTCAGCTGGTTTTAGCCTAATTAGATTAGGCCTTTGAACCCATTGTCTCTTTACTTTTAAATCATGCTGTTGAGGTCTTGAATAATAAAACTTAAAAGTAAAATCTGTACTACAGAAACACAAAATTCAGGATGCTGAGTGGAACTTCAGGGAAATTAGGCAAAGTAATAAATTCTGTATTTAATCTTTTATCACAGTGTTGGCATGAGACCACTTCATTTTACTACCTGAACAGTAAATAATAAGTTAGTGTTTGAAATATTAAAACAACTGATATCCGGTGGTAGCTGATATGATCCTCCTTTTAACGGTTGTTGATCCCATCCACGTAATAGCAATCATATTTTGTATGTCTGGAATTTAAATACTATCGGCTTTTTCAGATTAAAAGTAATCATTGGTTTGCAATTCAGTTATCTAGCAGGTGCATCTATCCAGCATTTACGATGTTTGTAGTTTTGCTGAAACTGTAATGGACGCATGAAAATCTTGATAGTAAGTTCATATACTTTGGGCCATATTGGAACTTTGACTTCAATGGTACTATGCTCACAAGTGAACCCCTGGGGAATTAGCTTGTGTCACTCAGTTCTTGATGATAATAGTTCATATCTTGGGACCTTCCAGGAAGATCTGCAAAGGCTTTAACAGTTCCAAAAATAGGATTAAAGATTTTCTTCTTATATTGGTGCTCTACCCTGATAACCTGCTACTTATTCAACTAGTCCCTCAATTGATATGCCTCAAAACACCACCCACATTGCTAAGAACGGCCATACAGGATCAGAGCAAAGGTCACTTAGCCCAGTGTCCTGTCTCCCAACTGTGGCCAATGCCAGGTGCCCCAGAGGGAGTGAACAGAACAGGGAATCAAATGATCCATCCCCTGTTGCCTGTTCCCAGCTTCTGACAGAGGCGAGGGACACCATCCCTACCCATCCTGGCTAATAGCCATTGATGGACTTAACCTCCATTAATTTATCTAGTTCTTTCTTGAACCCTGGTCTTTAACTGTTTATGCACAGATTCTTTTTACTGTGTTGGGAGTTTAATAAATCTGTTTACAAAAATAGATCTTATGGGGTTTGTCTTGTTGCAAATTTGGGGCTTCGTTAATGACTCTTGGGGTTTTTTCCCCTCTTGTTTACACTAGGGATGCAAGCGAGTAGCGGACTACCCGGTAAGCCTAGGCTTATTGGGTAGTCGAGTCACTACTTGACTAGTTGCTTCTTCACCCCGCCCCCTTGCTGCCTCTTATCAGAAGCAGCAAGGCTGGGGAGCAGGAGCCAGTGCTGGAGAGAGTCAGCTTAAAAGCCAGTTCACCCCCCAGCGTCATCTCTGCGGGGTGGGGGGGAGCAGAGGTGGCTGGCTCACGTCTGGCCCCAGACACTGCACTTCTGCTTTTTAAATGTAGTAGGAGCTGCCAGGCTTACTACATCTCACATCTGGTCCCAGACACTGCACTTCTGCTTTTTAAATGTAGTAGGAGCTGCCAGGCTTACTACATTTAAAAGGCAGGGCCGCAGCAGGGTTGGCACCCAGCGCTGGGAGCTAATCCCACTGTGGCTCTGCAGTTTGCGGCTCTGCTGGTTTCCCCCCTTATTAGCTAATGGAGTAGTAGATGTAAATTCCATCCACTACTCAATTAGCTGATTAAATGCAGTTTAACATCCTTGGCTTATGCTTTGCCTGAAATTGGTTGAAATTCCTTTTTTTAATTACGCAAGGCTTGTTCACTCACATTCCACAGTAATGTGCTA